CGTGAGATGGAGTGACGCAGTACTTAGTAGCAGCAACTGTCAGAGTGATTTTTAAACGATATTCAGCTTTTACAAGCTTATGACTCACATGATTAGTCAGGGGTCAAACACATACAGAAAACAGAGACACATCACGTCTGTATGATTTAGATCTCACACTTCACACATGTTGCAACTCGATCATACCGACAGCCCAAAGAAAAGGAATTTAATTCTGACATGAGATTTAATTCAGTGTGATAACATCTTTGCTGCTCTGTGTTTCTTCAGCCAAAGTCTACATAGACAAGAAGCTGAAGAGGAACTCCGTCAGAGCTCCTGATGACTTAATCGGTGACATCTTACACCAGAGCCGTCTCTCCAAGAAGGAGCTGTACGCAGCCATCACAGAGCTGCAGATCGGAGGAGTTGAGACGGTGAGCGACGTTTTGCACCACAAAGAAACACATTTCATTTACAGGAATAGTTTGATATTTTTTGGGAAATATGAATTGCTGTCTTGTTGAGGGTAGATGAGAAGATTTCCCCAAATGTTCAAAGTGTTGCTTTAAAGCTATGTCTGCCTATTCCAGCTTCTTTTGTTTATTAACAGTTGATGCTCTTATGTTAGATCATCACACAGCTGCAGGCACAGCACCACATAGCTATGATCGCAGGTTAACCTCTTAAATCTTTTACCTTTCGCCTATTTTCCTCCGAGTGAGGAAGGAAAAAAAACCTCTAAAACAAACAGGTGCTGCGGTTACAGTGCCTCAGAAGTGTAAAATGAATGTGGTGTGGATGTAGCTGAGGAGTCTTTGAGGGACCGCAAACATTCCTCAGCTCCCTTCAGGACCCCATTGAGGAATGCACTTTGACTAGCAGCCTCACTAAGTGACATCTCCTCTCTGCCCCCCTCCCTCTCTCTCTCTCTCTCTCTCTCCTTCTCGCTGTGTTTATGTTTCTCAGGCCGCCAACAGTATGCTGTGGGCTATTTTCAACCTGTCACGTAACCCCGACGCCCAGAGGAAGTTGCTGAAGGAGATTAGAGAGGTGGTGGCTCCGGACCAGGACCCGTGTGGAGAGCACATCAAGAGCATGCCCTACCTCAAGGCCTGCCTCAAGGAGTCTATGAGGTACAGTACAACAGGGGGTCATGGTGCTCAGAAAATAGAACAGCTACATGAAGCTCTCGGCTGCTACTACAGTTACAATGTGAGAAATAATTAGCAGGCGATAGAGTACAGTGACTTCTAAAGGCTGCGTACGTTCAACTATTACAGCTCAGTCAAGTTAAGTATGTTTTGCTGATAATACTTCTGTATTTTCACTTGTATAACATCTAAAATTCAGGACTTTTACTTGTAAAAAACATTATTTTCCTCATACTGTCTGTGCTGGAACCTCTGTCTGAAACGCTCTGTCTCTTTAAGCTCCCCTCACGAAAAAGCTCAGTTTGCTCTGATTGGTCAGCGTTACAGGGTCATCTGTATGTCAGTGTCTCTGCACCCTGCACCACCATAGTGGCCAGGGAATGACTTAAACAGAGTTTAGCGGAACTTTCTACCATGAAAAATCCAAACTATTTGCCATAAAAATCCATTGGCACTGAGCATTTCTGCAAACCACAGATAGGTTATATTTACACGTTATTATGTAGCAGATACATTGACACTGTTTCAACAATGCTGTGGTCAATGTGTGGTTACATTTAGGCACAAAAACCACTTGGTTATGGTTTGGAAAAGACCATGTTTTGGCACAATCCTGAAGAAATCTTGAAGAAATCAACCTTTTTTTGCTAAAAACACCCGTTTTTGGAGCCTAGAAACAGCAATAACTCACTAGAACACAACCGGTTTTGTTGTTTGTCTCGAACAGAGGTCTGTAGTGGTCTGCATCTTGGCAGTAGTCTAGCTTAGATCACATGCCATCCACCATTCTTTCCAGCTCTCATTGCCAAAGTCAGCTCTTATACTATGCCTTTAGAAACGTTGATACAAATGAAGCAAGCAAATGAAACGTATTTGTGGTTTGCAGAAGGGTATGTTGCCGGAAAAATCTCCTATTAAAGCTTTTAGACAAACTTCCAGACAGAATATGACATAAAATTAAAGAGAAATTAAGAACATCTGCTGCCAGGATTACGTGTTTCCCTGAGGTTAGCTTGTTGCTACATGTAGCAGTGTAGCCTATGTCAAATAAACACTTGTAATAGCCTGCCTGGAGTAGATGACTATATAGTCTCAATCTGAATAATTATACAGGGGAATAAAGCGTACGAAACCAAGTATTCAGAGCAGTCTGAAGCCAGAGGTCTTTGCCCACAGGGTCTTTCCATACGTATACATCATTTTGTGAAAGTTTGGCCACATTTCATATGAACATCCGACATTGTAAAATCACAGAAAATAAAGAAAAGGTCCCCTTTAAGTATCCGAGTACTTCTTCCACCACATGACATGACATAACATCCGCTGATAAATTTGATTCTCCGTTTTCCAGTCAGTCTCACTGACTCCGTCACGATCTCACTCGGTACCACGGAGATTAAAGAGGCAAAACTCACACACATGACTGACTCAAAAACATGAGATGTGGTCCCAGCTTAAATCCATGTGGTCACGTTCAGATCACTAGAAATCACTCTTGTGCAGTCACAAGTTGTCTAACATGTTATTTAAGTTCTAATGCCATAACCACACGCAGGGAATGTATATGATCCCCGACTGGAGATTATATCTCCCCTCATCTTGTACCGTGAAAAACATTGAGAGTAAGATTATCTTAGTTAAACAGCTTAGATATGTGTGTCATGCCATACTACAGCTTCGCTGAAGCCGTATTCTCATGTGCTTTTTTTTTTTCTTTCTTTGAATTCTTACAGGTTATCACCATCAGTCCCGTTCACCAGCAGGACCCTGGACAAAGACACTGTGTTGGGAGATTATGCCATTCCCAAAGGAGTAAGTGGCTTAGATCTCGTTAACATACACCTGACATGAGCAGATTACATTCTTGTATTCATTTACATTTGTCTGTCTGACTGTTACAAAAACCTGCTCAAATACTGTACAAAGTCTAAATGGAGCAACTCTCATGTGCAACTCCGGATCAGATTTACAGTAACAAGGTCTTTATCGGACTTTACTTTACTGTAATCTACTGTACTATCTATTATTTCTTTATAGCAAGTACTGAGGATTTTTGATCTGTATAACAGTAAACATGTAGCTTTAATTGTTATTGTCATTCATTTACAGACAGTGTTGATGATAAACAGCCACGCACTGGGCTCCAATGAGGAGTACTTTGACAATGGGAAGCAGTTCAAACCCGAGCGCTGGCTGCGGGAGAACAGCACCATCAACCCGTTCGCCCACGTTCCCTTCGGCATCGGAAAGAGGATGTGCATCGGCCGACGGCTGGCAGAGCTGCAGCTACAGCTGGCCATGTGCTGGGTAAGATCTGTTCAGCTTATAGACTCATTATCAGTTACTTTAAAGCACTGCAGAGTTGGGTAGTTCAGTAAGATACCAACTGATTCTTTTTGAGTTTTCTGTCATGTCACTCTCTTAAAACTTTCACTGACTGACGATATCGAACTCTGCTTGTCTTTCTTACAGTTGGTCAGAGACTATGAGATCGTAGCAACAGATAACAAGCCACTCGACGTTGTCCATTCAGGACTTTTGGTTCCCAACAGAGAACTTCCTGTTGCCTTCATCAAGAGATGAGGTGAGCCAATCTCTCTACTTGGATCTCCAGTTTTTATAATAGTTTGACATTTTGGGAAATATACTCATGCCCTTTCTGTCCAAGAGTTAGATGACAATTGATACCACTCTCATCTCTATCAGTTAAATATGAAACTGAAGCCTGTTAGCTTAGCTTAGCACAAAGACCTGAAACCGGGAAAGGTTTAGCCTGGATCTGTCGTATGCGGCACCTCTAAAGCTCACTAGTTAACAGAGGTGTGGACTCAAATTTGATGACTTTAGACTCAAACACCAGTGACTCGTGACTTCACTTGGACTTGAGCCTTATAACTTGAAAATACCTGATACCTTCCCGAAAACCCAAAGATTAAAAAGTTAATTATTTAAAAAGTGTGCCATGAATTAATTAATTTCCCTTCAATTCCTAAGTCAGCTGACTTTGATGCTACTCATTCTCAGCAAGTCGACACTTCTCCAGACAATCCACTTTGTTTGAATCCGACAGCATCCAATCAAGTTGCAGGAGAAAACCATGAAGAGCTAATGTTACATTACTGAGCGGCAGTTGAAAAAATGATACCAAGTTAATTGTGTTTTTCGCATATAAAAACAATGTGGTAGTCAACAAAAAACGATTAACAGTATGTAAAATGTGCGGGACAAAAGTAACAAAGGGAGACACACCAACTTCCAGTTAAGTTCCACATTTGAAATTGCACAAAATCTGGTCATAGCCAAGGAAACGTGTGGTTCATAACCCCCCATAAAACCGTTTTCACGCTTGTTTTACACAATAAAAATACATATTAATCAGTGACTTACCATTGGAAGCATTGAACCGAGCCAGGCTAGCTGTTTCCCCCGTTTCCACTCTTTGTGCTAAGCTAAGCTAACTAGCTGCTGCTTCATTTTTACCGTACAGGTATGAGAGTGGTATTGATGTTCTTACTTTAGGGGTGGGACACATGTTGGGTCTTTGCTAAGCAAGGTCGGGCACCGGGTTCTACTCTTGTGCCTACTGTGTGCCAACTTTCAAGACCGTGCAGGCAGGTTGCATCTGGGGGTTGCTAAGCAATCATAACCAGCTAGAAATCGTGAGTGCAGAGCTGATCTTCTGCCAGGCGCTGTTTCTTAAATGTGTATTGGGCCTAAAATATTGTCTGTGGGACAGATGCAAAGCTCTGGATAGTAAGATGATCAGCTTCTCCTCCATATTTATCATAAACTGATATTTATGGAAAAAGGGAACAATATCTGCTGGCTGTGATTGGTTGTTTCTCATCATTTGACATGTGGTGCGCCATGCGGAAGGCTTGCACGGCGCTCATTTTTGAGCACACCTTCTGTGCATCTAACATTGAAAACAATGGATTTGAGGGTGCAAAATGCAGCTTGTGTGCAGGTTCTTACTCTCCACCAGAAAGTATAAGCATACCACCCAAAATGCCAAACTCTCACTTTAAGTCTGATATTTTTTAATCCAGTTTTCTCATCCACTGTAACAACAAAATGGCACATAGTAAACACTGTGGTTTTCACACTAATTAATTAATTATTTCTCCTTTCCTTTCACTCTCAGGCTCCATATTCAACTCTTGTGGACGTAGTGGCAGAAAGACGATACCTCTGTTGCCATGGCACCGATGGTCCAGTGACTCCCTGTATTGCTGCTCTGTAAATAGAAAAAAAAGACACAGAAATAATGAGACATGTAATCATGCCATAAATACCTCAAACTTATTTAAAACTATTGCTTATGACTGATGATGACTGACCAAAATACCAGTGGTTATGTACAAACTGAATGTTGTACCAAGGCACCTGTGTATGTAAATGTCTTTTTCTTTTCCTTGTTAAATAACTTATATATATATGAATAGGTCATGTTTATTTTTCATTGTGTATATACAGTGTTATTATGATGTTGTAATATTGTACATTGTTTTATGTAGAGTCATATTTTATTCACTGAAATAAATACATACATAAATGTATCAAAGCCGAGCCTGTGTCTTTCATAAGTCTTTGTGTGATTTGAAGTCTTTACAGCTTGATTAACAGTAGATATTCAAAATGTGTGCTGTTGTTGATGTTTTTTAAGTGTCTTGTCAATGGTAAAGAACAATCTTCACCTGACTATTTTCTTGAAAAAAGATGCTGCAGATGACTAGAACTGGAACTTATTAGCTGGAAAACACTAGGGGCCCGTAGCATAAAGCCTCACCCTGCAGTCCAAATTCAAAGTGGATAACAATATCACAGAATATACGTTTTAGTCATGTTAATTTTTTTGGTCCAGGCACTTTTTTTCCAAAAAAAGAGGGTAAAACATTGTACTGAATGTGGGATTATGAATGAAAAACAAGTCAAAAACAAGAGAAATGTCTATTTAGGAGCTTACTGTTTATAAAAACATAGAAAACTCAAACCCTTAAGACCAAGGAGCCATTTGCTTATTATTTCTGTACATTTATAACAGTCTGCGGTGCGAGGAAAGAGTTCAAAATTACTCTAAAAGTGAGGAGTGTCATTGACTACGAAACCCATAAGCTATCGGGTCATTGCTGGCTATTGATTGGCTCTGAGCCTGAAGTTAGTAAGGCAGGCCCTCGTTGGTTATTTAAGCCTAGACTGTCAGTATGGAAGCTCCCATTGGCTCAAGGAAACGTGTCAATCAAAAGGTCAGGAATTTGCCACCTTTTTTTTGTTTTTTTTGTTTTGTATTTTTGCCTCCAATTGATAGGACAGCTTAAGTGTGAAGGGGGAGAGAGAGAGGGGAATGACATGCAGCAAAGGGCCACAGGCCGGAGCCGAAGCCGGGCCGCTGCAGCAACAGCCTTGGGGTGTCTGCTCCATCCACTAAGCCACCTACGCCCCTGGAGTTTGCCACCATTTTGAAAAGGAGGGGTCGACTTATTTACATGCAAACTGGATAAGTTATGGATAATATGTGGAGTATTATGATGAGTAGTATGATCATTTGAAACAATGCAACAGCAGTTGTAGATATCTATGGGTGAATATCTAATGTGTTTGAACTAAATATTTCACTGGATTTAGATCATTTGGACCTTTAGGACTGCATGAGCACCATTTTTGTTGCCGTATAATAAATCTGTGAATTACCAGTATGCATAAAAGGTGAGTTATAACTGTTTGTTTGTTGTTTGTCTGAAAGAAACATTTATTAAAACCTGCTGTGGTATCTGTATCTTGAAACGGTCTGCATCAGCTGAACTGCAAGGAGAGTGGCTTTCAAACGATAGGTCATATAGGTAAACCAGCAGTTGTTTACATATCATAGGTCATCAATAAAACCTTTGAAATGCCCATGTCAGATTGTTAACAATGAAATTATGATAAATAATATTGTATATAATTATTAGTAACAATATAATTTGTGGTATTTTAACAGTTTATTGTTGCAACATAATATTTATAGACTATATTAAGTATTCGTTAGTAGTTAATGATTGATTTGTAAACTGTCTTTAAAAATGACTTTAATGGCTATTATAGTCAGGTGCACTGCAAAGTATTTATAAAAGATTTAGCAAGGTATTATTATCATCAGTTGCAACTTAAGAAATAATAGCCATCGAAATAATGTTTATAGACAGTGAACCAATAATTAACCCCAGACACATACTTGATATAATATTTAAAATGTTATAATATGTGCAACAACTAACGATACAACATGTATACATGAGTCTGAGTTTGTTTTAAACGTTATCTAAGGTTCATAATCAGTGAGGGTCAGTGTTAATACAGTGTGTGACTTACTATAGCCCACTGACCTAATCCTACAATCTTAAAATCATGTTACACAATAATCATTGTCTACTGTTAGCAGCTGGTTATGTTACGAAAGTGAGTTATGAGGTGAGGAGCTTATACAGCACGTCATGTTACTGTATTTAGAATGAGACCAAATTAATTAACTAAATAATGACAAAAATAGAAACAGAGAGGGGGTGTGGAAACTTTCAAATACTTTTTCCTTTGCTCTTTAACATTGTGTATAAAAAAACATATGAAAACTCCTCACAAACGACTACTTGTTAGCAGTTTCACAAGATATTTTCCTCTTAACCTAACACCTACTAGATTTTGCTGATACAGTAACACCTCTGTATCTAAACCAGCAGGACTTTTTCTTGTAAAGGACTAAATGTATATTGTGGCCTTGGTACTTCTACATAAGCACAGGATCGGAGTGCTTCCTCCACCATTGCTTAGTTTACCTCAGTCTTAAGGACAAGCAAAGCTCCTTTGAGGACAGCCTGAAGGTGAGCAACAACATTTATGAGCTTCATTGTCCTCAGATCCCCTCCCTGGCAATTTTACGCAGCTTCACACCTTAATTTGTGTGACTCATATGACTGCCGTGAGGCCTAAAGACTCACATGTGACCTCAGGTGACATCAACACGTGAACCAGGCAGCAGAAGTTAAATGCCTCCGAGTGGATTCACCTCTCAGGAGAGACGTTTTCATGAGTCTATATTTTCATCAATGATTTGTTGAAATATCCTAAATAAAACTAAAATGTTACCATGTGTAGAAACCGATCAAGAGTGCAGATATGACTGGGGATAACTTTTCTGTTGGGGCAAATTCTAAACCAGTGGTTCCCAACTGGTCCAGCCACAGGGTCCAGGTGTCTCCTCAGTCACTAGTTCAAGGTCCACACATTTTAATATATTTAGCATCATACTTGCATTTGTCCATGTCATCAAGCTGCTGTCTCTGTCAATTACCTGTCCTTTAGTTGCTCACTCTACAGCAGGAAACAGCACTTCAACATAAAAGCTCTGTGCTGGAAATTTACTGTACTTCAAAATAAAGTTTACACGTTCCTGAGTCACTTGTGGACCTTTCAGAATGGACCCACGACCCACTTTTGGACTGCGATCCACTAGTTGGGAACCACTGTTCTAAAGATTGGTAATTATTTAAAGGGTCAGTTCAACTAAATTACCAAAGGAGATATATTACTCACACATGTCCAGTGGTAAAGCCACACAGATAGGTACATTACATTACAAACACTTTTGTCTAAAGCAAATTACAGTAACTGCATTCAGCTTACAAAGAATATTTCATAGTTTGAGTTTCAATTAAGTTTTTTTTTTTCATTAAAATTACTTTCTACCAAAGAATATGTGGATATTGTGCACTGTGACTGTTGTTATTCAGGTTGAGTGACACGTCGTGAACGGAAACACGTTACAACGCTTTAATTTTTTTAACAAAGCTGTCCTAGTTTTTATTGTATTACAGTGATTCAGTTTATCTATAACATGGTAAATACCATGGAAACAGCATAAATGAATTGCAGGCCCTAGTGAGGATCGAACTCACGACCCCTGGTTTACAAGACCAGTGCTCTAACCACTGAGCTATAGAGCCGCAGCTGTTTCTAACCTTTTCCGTGTCTCATGTCATCAGTGTGACCACTGACAGCTGGGTGTCATATCCAGATGTAATATGTTTAATGACAACGGCATAAATAGCATTGTTTAAACGCTGCGCATGCAGAGTGGTGTATATTGAGGCCATTTGATGACTCAAATATTGTTTTATAATAACGTTTAAAGTATTGAAAGTGAATCCTTAATCACAACATGGAGTCGAGATCTCAGTGACTGATTTATTAAAACCAAACTACAGTCTCTGCATGGCTACAAACCACATGAGGCGAGTGAGAATGAACACATAATTAATAATTGTGTGTTTTAAAAGTTTGATGACTAACCTGACACTTGAAGGAACAGGAACAGGAACTTGATGGAAATGGGACAACACTGCCACCCAGTGGCCCAAACCTGCTCTCACTGAGTCTGTTAATGTTCTACTGTTTTGAAATGCTTCATTTCACATTTTAATTTATTTATGTATGTGAATGACAACAAGTTTCATGAGTAATGTCTTTAAGGTGTTATTCATCTTTTAATAGATTTTCTTAAGACATAAATCAAGAGATATATGTTGCTTAACTTGCTTTGGATGATCATATTATATTATATTATATTCAAATAATATACTGTTTTATTGCATTTTAAACTATAATGTCCTTTTACTATATTTCTGTAATAATACAGAAAAACACAGTATTATCTAATCATATATTATTGTGTACACTGTTTACATACTATTTAATTATTCATTTATTTATTTATTTCCTTTCTTTGGTATAGTTGATATTCTGGGTTTCCTTTGGTTAATATAGGATATATATATATATAGCATAGCCTATTCCTTCGGTTATCAACTGTGAGAAAATTTCGTATGAAATAATCTCTGTGTCTCCAGATGTATGTAACAGAAACAAAAATTATTAATTTATTCATAATTGCAGGCTTTACTGCTTCAAAACAGATCATTACGTCACTCTTGTTTTGTAATTTAAACTTCATTTTTATAATTGTATTATTATTTATTAATTCTATAATTATCTATT